GTCCCGCTTCTTGTCGGGCTAGGCGGAACCACTTCCAACATTCTACAGAACAATGGAAATAACCTCTTGAACGGTCTCCCCGTGGCTAACGGCGGTCAGCTCCCATCAGGTTCGTCTCTTCAGATGCTCATGTTTGGGACATTGACGGTGATGGACAACGAACTAACCGAAGGGCATGAACTCGGGTCTGGTCTGCTTGGTAAAGCGCAAGGGTTCTACGTGGCCAGCGCCTTGGATGGAACCAGCCAGACCATGGCTTTCACAGCTATGTTTGAGAGTGGTGGTTATGAAGATAGCATCAGTTTCTTCGGTGTACATAGAACGGCTGCATCGGAATCTCATCTTGGGGTTATGGGTGGTACAGGGAAGTTTGTCAACGCGAGGGGCTTCGCCATTGTCAAGACTTTTACAGGTTCCACCGGGAACCAGCAGCAACAGCCGCAACAGTTCACGGACGGGCTCGAGACTGTTCTACAGTGCACCGTTCATCTTACTTACTAGTATTTTTTCCTTCTTTCCCACTGCTGTTGAAGTGTGTTGTGTATTTTGTTTTTTATATTATTAATCTTCAAATGTAAGACAAACGTGAAATTGAAAACCTATTAATTTGTAAACGAATCATCCGTTAAATCCAACTGGTATTCTTTCTTTATCTCATAAGAACAAAAACCGAAAAAAAAAAGTTTCCTATCGTTATATGTTAAGGTTAAGCACACACATTAGAATATTTTTTACACAACACCATTGTTTGTTTCAAGTTAAAACAAATTTTACATTGAAAAAAAAAAAAAATCTATCTTTATGAAACAATTGTTTTGTCAAACATCTATTTTTAAGAAAAGAAACGGATGGAGTATTTGCTAACAGTTTGATGGACTCGAACCGAACCAACGGCTCCAACAAAAAAAAAAACAGTCTTACCCACCAAAACAAACAAACACAAACGTTTTCAAAATAAATACCACAAACACCTTACCAACCAATTTTCTTCAAGAAACGATGATGCTCTTGAAACCTTCTTCCTTAACAAAATCCCGACAACTAAAAGGCGGTGGCTCCTCCGAGTCTCTGATCGGCGATAGTGTAGAAGCAGCCGACGCTTTTCTACGCCAATGGGTTTCTCCACATCTCCCCGA